TTCTTCTACTTTCCACCTTCTGACCCATTTAATCTCATCTTGCCGAATCGACCTGGAAATGCATACTGGAAAATGATCACTTTGATACATATAGCTCCATTCCGACCACAACAATCCACTACAATTTTTATTTTGAAAAGGAGCATACGATACATAGCAAATAATTACCACCCGTGCCTAATCCACAGCTGCATTCGCTTTGGTTGCCACTACGTACATTAACATCTGTAGTAAAGAACAAAAGGTCACACTGTATGTCCATCGAGGAGACCGTTTCGACAGTAAAATGTTATTTCCAAGAAGAAGAAAAACAGTGTAGATGATTCTGCTTAATTAGGTAACAACGTGCACCGTACAATGCTTGCGGAAGAACAGATGAAATCTCATTAAACAAGTACATTTTTAGGACCGAAGTCAAAAAGTGGTATAGTAACTGGTAATTTTATGAAGGGCGTTGTAAGAAAAACCGTTTCCAGTTTCCACTATCAAAGGACATGAATGTCTATATTTTCCGCAAAATTGTAGAACTACATAAAAAATCGGCAAAAGAATCCATTCGAAGATTGGGGAACTGCAAGTGCTCAATATCTGGACTCCATTCAGTGATAGACGTAGGTAGAGAAATGGATGAGAATGTATTTTTTTTTGACCCGATGAAATTGAACGATATTTGCGAACCAGCTTCCACCATTGTCGAGGAGTCATCATCAAATAAATGGGTACAAAGGAGGAATCAAACGACGTTCTGGAGCTGGGCAAGAGATTAGGTATCGGCAACGAAAACGGTTTTTTAACGGGAAGATTAGGCGAACTACCATGACGAAATGCATAAATAGCATTTTGAGGAGTGGCTACGATATGCTACACAAGTAAAATTGCTTTGTATTGTTTAGAGGTGCATTTGAGGCGCATTATATATAAAGTACAACTTACGCCTTACGGGATGCTGTTCGTTGTAAATCCGGAAAAGCTTAACATTGCCGTCGCTGTTAGATTTAAATAGAACATTGAATTGGTGAAGCGAAGCCCAAAAATAAATATATTATATTTTCCCAAGCTGTTTTATTATTCTAGCTTTACTGCTACATAGTATGAATATTATGTTACCCCTTCCTGCGAACGCTTCTTGTGATATATGTGCACAGTACACATAACGCATTTTACTAAATTTCGGGTAGAGAAATAGCGCTCAAACAAAGCGCGTGCATTTAAATAGCTATTGAAAGGGCTCATACTTATAATTACTTGCATTATTTAATCTCATTAATTTCGACATGGCATTTATAACCGATTTGGATAAGCATAGTTGTATGAATTTACGCCTACCGTGGACATTAAGTAAACAGGGGCCAGTTGAATTTTTTACCAAATGGGAAGGTATCGCCGATCGCAGAAAAAAGTGTTACGTAATAAATAATTAATTAAAACATATGTTAGTGTCAGAAGTAAGTCATCAACATGTTACCAGTTCTTAAATTAATGACGTATAATATTGTTACTACCAGATTATCTACGTGTCAATTATTTGTGCTCGAGAAATTTCAAAGATCTGCGGCCAATTACTCAAATATATTTAGTCACCTAATTAGCCGGTTTTCTCTTTGAATCGTTCACGGCAAATAAGTTATTTTAGGTATTTCAAGCTTAGATACAGTGAAAATTAAAGTTTGTTTCAAAGGGTGCGTTCCCTTTACATTTACTGTCATTGTATCCCGTGCGAATTTTCCTATCTAAAAAAAACGAATTCTTTGGAAATTTTCCTATTTGCACCCATAATAGTTCTACAATGCATTTTAGTCAAAGTTGCCTTCATTTACTTCAAATAATTGCAGCATAAGAAATAAGGTGACAAACTTCTCACGTCGTGTTTTTAAAACTCACTTTTGTTGCGATTCCATTTGTAGCCACAATAGTTCTATCATATATAAAGTGACCCGAATTCGAATTGTCAATTGAGGCTTTATGTGTCCTGCTGTCCTGCATAAAATTCAGAATTCTTACATCGAAGAAGAAAGGTAGAGGGTCTTCCAACACCCCTACTATTCCAAAAACATCTCCAATTATCAGAGTGAGCGAAATATCCAGGAATCACACTTGACAGAAAGCTGAATTGAAGCAAAGATATCACGCTGAAATCCAAAAAAGCAAATTGGGCTTTCTGGTAAAGTCGACGCGCAATTGAGAGACTTTAGGGACCATTTGCGGATTTATATAATTATGCGTCTTCGGGCGTTTTCTTTCAACTGCTAATTGTAAGTATATTCCTTGCCATTGGTTACCACCCAATTGTTCACTTTCGGTCAATCATCCCCTTCAGGGTTGTTCATCCTTAATTTGTTTACGACTTTTTCCCCTTTAGAGTTTTTGTACCTTCATTTTAAGCTTTTTATGGAATTCGACTTTGTACCTTGCCTTGGTCGGTCGATCCTTTTGTTGTAAGTTTCGTCGTCATAGGTTAATTCAAGTTTGTTACATTACATTTTAGGGCCTGATGATGACATTTGCCGAAACACGTCGCCTTTAATAACCCATATCTTTACTTAATAAATTGAAATTTATGGGGAAGGTTTGGTATTTTGGGTCTGCCTCCACTAGATTCTGCGTAAGAGGGCAGGCCAGTCTGGCCTCCTTGTGTCTTAAAAATAAGGGGTTGTTGAATAGCAGAGGTATTGAGGTGGGCCACTCTCGAATTCTGGGCGAGGCGATGAAGCGATTACCTATCCTAGAAGGGCGATCGGAGTCACTCACTCCTCAATTCATATTAGGGAAAACTATCACATCTTTCCTGATGGAGATGTGGCATCCCAACGAGACATATTCATTTTAACGGATGGATCTAAAGTAATGGAAAGAACATGCACTGGTATTTACTGAACTCCCTATCCAACCACTAGGCAAACTTCCTACTGTATTCCAATCAGAGTTGGGAGGGCTAATGGTCAGTGCAATAAAAGTTCTTAAGTATAACATAAAGAGCAAAACTATCACAAGAAGACTGCCCTGCAAACACTCGGTCACTGTAAAATTAGCTTTAGGTTGGTGTACGAGTGTCACCATGCGCTAGAGCAGCTAGCAAGCAGTAACACGGGTCAAAGGACCTGCCGGAACGAAAAGTAATGAGAAAGCCGACGAGTTAGCCCAACTTGGGCTCAAAGTAGGAGTTTTATGGTCCAGGGCCGGCTCTTCCACTTAAAGTTATAAATGTAAACATCTTATTACACGCATACATACCCAACACAGGGTTGTCTGCAAAGGGCCCTTTCGTAGCGTGGCGCGTTTTTGCACAAAGCTATCAAGAGGTTACTCGTGGGCATACTTTCTGCGAACTAAAGAAACACATGCACCGCATGGGTGATGGGTTTGCTAGAATCACCATATTGTAGAGGATGTTACACAGGGTATGAGAGGGCCCACCACATACTTTCTGAATGTCCCGCCTAGTCCAACTGAAACGGTCCATTTTGGGGGTATTCTGTCCAGATATGCCTACGAATAGAGGCGCCTCCCCTTCAAGCATCCTTAGGTTCATCTCACGTGTGGGAGGCTTAAGTGACGGGTGAGGGATCAGACGGATCTAGTCAGGGACAGGGAGGTAGGACAAAGGATCCATCCTCCTATCGTAATCCATAATCCAGAGAATCCCTGTAAACAGAATCAATCCGGAAAGTTCGAACACTCGCATAGCACTTATGACATACAGTGGTATTTATTAAGAGGTGGGATTTACTGCGCTGTTTTTCCCTATGTCTACTTTTAAATGGCAAAGTTTCTTCTGAAAGACAGCTGATTTTAAGCAACCAAAATAACTTCTTAAAACAAATAAAGATCTTGCTGTCAGTTGATATTGTCAATGCCGGTAACAGTGTAAGAAGCGTAAGATATTTATTTTCGGTGAACAATATTCAAATTAATTATTAATATGACAGCCAGATCCTAATTTGTTTTAAGAAGTGGTTGCATAAAATTATGCGCCCTTCTGATGAGATTTTTTCATTTAAAAGTAGACATAGGGAAAAACAATACACGTAAATCCCTATGTCCACTTCTTAATAAATCACTGTTTAAGTTTTTACAACAGATCGATGAAAGTCTGTAAATTACGTCGCATCAATCAATACACCGTGCATAAATGACTAGTTTGGAAAGCATCATTCGAATGTTAGTGAAAGATGCATGTGGATAATCCTGAAATAATGTTCGTCACTTCAAATCATAAATGAGATATGGCGTTCGAAGACAAAAGCGATGATATAAAACTAAACGTGTTTCAATGAAATTTAAAAAAAGTAACACAAAAATGGACACGTTACCTATCCGCGAACGTCATTTAAAATATTCAAACTGAGATGGTGACAAGTTCTAGTATGACCAGAACTGAATGAGCCATTAATTATTTCACCAAGCTTTTAAAGGGGGCCAACTCAAATAGACGATTCACCTGATTGTGTACAACAAAAGTAACTGTAACTGTAGATGTAGTTTTGCTGGTGTTGCTACGACGGGGAATTACCTACAGCAAAAAACCTTCTATAGAATGATGCTGGAAAGCAAGGCAGAAGTAAAAACAACATTTTCCCTACGTCTTCTTTAAAAACTATATTTTTTTAAAATCACTGGATTGTAGCAATATATATACTATTGCGATCTGTAGTTTTGTCTAGTCTAATTTTTCAGTTCCAGCCTTAATTACCAGGATCGAAAAAGTACCAGGTTTGTTCTGTTGTTAATGCTATACCAGAAGTTTTAATACTAAAAGATACCATGTAAATCTCGTTGCGTGCAATAAGGAAAGTTTTAATTGCTTGTGAATAATCATGCTAATTAGTTATTTGTTCTATTACGGGTATCTTTTCTATTTTTGTATACCACTGACCTATAGCTAGTAGAAGTGATTTCTTACTTCAGATTAGATAAGATATACTTGTAAACAATTATTGGAATCTTGAGCAGCAGTGCCGTTTCAGAAAGAAGAAAATATAAATAATTGGTCTTACCGCGTAATCGCATACGTAATCAATTTACCCCTTCGTACTGACATGGGAAGTTTACGAGCGTGGCCAATGTCCCAATGATCGCGCTCGATTCCTTTTTTTAATAGGGGTGGATGGAGTGAATGCCGTTCAACTTACCTGAAATAAAAAAGAAAAACATACAGAACATAATTTAACTGTAAAATGCGGTGTGCAATCACGGTTATATTCAATTATTTATGTTATATAGGAACATCATGATTTACGATCACTGGTAGCGATGGTACACCACAAATGCCACAAGTGCCTGTAATGGTAAAAATGGCTAAATTTTCTTGCACATTTATCGACAAACCTCCTTTCTCTATTAATAACGATTACAGTTAGTACAACACAATAGAGACGTTGTGGGTGAAGCTGTGCGACCAGGAAAAAATACGTCCCACTACAGGTGTAGGAAGCAGATTCCTTGGTTCTAAATTGTACAGCAACATGACAAGTCTATTAGTGAGCAAATACAATTAATAAGGATATAGATACGGGAAACTGGAGAATCATTAACGTCGCAGCAACTTATTTGCATAGCGATAGACAATAACTGGGCCAGATTTAAAAGTTCAGATAGTTTGGTACACATTTCTTGTAAAGGTTCGTTTGTTAGCGTTTGCATTATACCGAAAATTATTTGGCAATTCTAACCTTCTGATTATAATCACACCATTGTCAATAATAATATGACGTTAACAGTGATGGATTAGTGGATAGACGAATGGTTTAGAGAATTTAACATTGACACATCCCAAAATTGTTTTTTCAGGACCCACAATGGACTTTCCCTGGGTTTTTGTAAAATTATTTCCAAAGATGATTGAGGTGCGAAAAATTCGCTATTTGGCGGTTTTCCAACACGAAAATAGCGATTCCTAAATTTGGAAGTAAAATTCGACCCCCTACGTGAACATACACGAGGCATTCTTCACTATAGAGATGTTGTACGTACTGGTGACCAGCAGGGCTTTAATGCGCTGAATAAAACACTTTTGTTGCACATATTAAAACCGCGTGGTATTTTGTACCTTTTATATGGAAATATTCATTAATTGAGTGTCCCTCTAACGAATTTTAGTTACAGTGCTGCTGTTACACTTTGGCTTGTCAATGAGTATTCGCTTTGCATTAGTTTTATCCAAGTGTTAATGGTAACTGACGACTGACCTACACAGTGGTCGCATTATAACTTCGCTTTTCATTGCGAAATAGTATAAAATCGGAAATGTATAAATGATTATGTGTTTCTTTTCAAATGTTAGGGACAAAAAACTTGAAACCCGATTTTGTCCCGCATTGCTATTTTAAAAAGTTGGCCGCCTTATTTATACTAAAGAATCAAGAATGTATGTATTATCAGTTGATAAACACCGATTTTGAGATTTCAGCGTTTTTAACGTGGGCGAACTAGACATTTTACTCCGATTAGTTCAAATGATGGTGTCTTAAAAAATCATGATTCGCGTGGGTGATTTAGCATTGTGTAAGAAAAGATATATTACATCTGAGAGATATCTCAGACGGTGGGTGTCCCTTTTCTAAAATAGACACTTGTGAGAAATCACCGTAGATAAGGAGCACAGGTAATACATTGGTACAATTTCATAAAGAGGACAAATCTGCGAAGGTAAGTATTTTTATTAGTCATCGGTTACATTGTACTGGGACTTAATTGATTGAAATAAATTAAAGATAGGCTCTTCTCCTTATATGCTTTTGATCTTCAAACTGGACAACTACAATAAAGTGCCTAGTCATTATGTTTGAAATTGGATTTTGCTGCCTTTTGCAGCATCTGCTCGCATATATAGTGCGATATTGACACATAAAAGACTATTTTTTAAGTATTCACCCAATTACCTTCAAAATTACATCGGGGATGTCAACAATAATGGCATTTTGTGGTTTAAACGTTTAAAGCGTTATATCTCAGGTAATATGTTTGTAACTTGCAAATAGGTGTACCAAGTTCGACTCCCACGGAGCCAAACTTGTTTTATCGGATCCTTTTAATTAAATATCTGCTTTTTTCGGTGTCGACCTAATTAACGACATTGATTAATTTGCTATGACATCGCTGTTTGGACTAAGTTTTATACATTCTAATAGTTTGAGTTAATCATAGATTATTTAAATCGACTAAAACTAAATTGAGACATTGGACGCAGCAGCTTTATTAAGTTAAAATATGTGTAAGTAATTTATCACCATAGGAAATTATAGCCATATTCCCCTAACTTACATGAGAATTTTTACGGGCTGTTGACAAATGAAAAAAGAAGAAAGATAAAATATGCATAGCTAACGAAATTTTAATGTATTCAAAACAGGAGTCCTGTGTATCAAGATAACGCCATTTTAATATTCTGACAAACCTTTTGACAAGTGAAGCAATGCGTACTTATGAGTGCCAGACCACCAATATTTATCGGGATATCTCTCCGAAAAATTAAAATATTTTGTTTAAAAACCTTGCGCTTAAAACAATGAAGTATTCGTTGCACAATTTCCGTTTCAAGGCGCGACTATATCAACAACTTTTATGCAAAAAACTCCAACAATGAATTTATTGGACGAATTCTCGCATTCACCCCACACTCCGGAGAATCATGACATTAATTTACAGAAATCTCTCTGTAATCCATGAAACCCCAAATTCAACAAGTCCTACCCCTTCTTCCGCGGTTGACATGTGATGGCTATCGCGGTTAGCAATCAGTTTTCAGCAGCCGAAGACACCCAAACGTACAATGACACAGCTGATATTATTAGAAATGTAGTAAACATTTGCTTTGATTACACGAAATGTTAATGCGTGAGACAAATATCTTTTGATCAATATTTTTGTATAACATTCAATAATGTAAAAAAAATGTATACTTACCTTACTACAAGGAACCAACCGATAAGTTTATCCTAAACTTGGTTGGACCTCTAACATTTGGAATTAATCATGAATAAACATTTCAAACATTTACAAAGTGTGGCAAATATTTCTGAAATCACCGAAGGATATTAGGATTACAATCAAACCCCAATTAAAATTAAGGAAATTGGGGTGCTAACCAAATCCGCGTAAGAAGTTAAAGACTAAACTGAAAGGGTTATCTCTAGTAATACGAAAAAATATGCCTTCATTTAGCGACCGTAAGAACTTAAGGAGGGGTGAAACCCGTCTCTAAAGGCCTTATTAGATGATGCAATTTTATTGCACGAAAAATTGGTACCAATATATGTTTAGAATGATATAAAAAAATTGCTAAATAAATTGCATAGTGTAATCACTACATCTTTTTACAATAATTGCTGCAAGAATTGCAATAAAAATTGCATTATATCATATGGCCTTGACACACCTACCTAAAAATCATTTAACATCAACGAAAAAAAATGTTTCGAATTCTCATGTTTTTAAAACATTTCACATTTAGCACTACCAAACCAAGTTGTAAATCAGCGTATGCATGATGAAAGCGCATTTTTGGTAATGCAGATCAGTATTTCATTAGCAAAGTTTAAAATTATCGATCTCACGAGTAATCTACTCAAAATAGACTAGAGCCTGCACATCTGCACTATAACACGAAGTTTTTAATGAAAATTTAAAGTCTCTAGCAATTGTAATTGCTGAAATCTCAGCCGGACAGCCAGCCAACGAGCCATAATGAATATAATAGCGTATATTTTTTCAAAAATGTGCTAATAATTAAGTTGTTATACTGGTAGCGCTATCTAACAGTAAAATTATAGCACCTCCGAAAACTATATCGAAATTATTGTCTTCAACTATCGATCTCACAAGTAATCTTAACTCAAATAGAGCCTGCACATCTACACTGTATCAGAAAGCTTTTAGTGAAAATTTGAAGTCTCTAGCTATTGTAATTGCTAAGATCTCAGTGGGACAGCTAGCCCGATAACGAATATAATAGCAGAATTTGAAACATTCTTTTTGTGAGTGATAAACGAGTTTTTCTGAATCCTACTTTAGAGGCGGATGTCACAAACCCGGAATGTCATTAAATGAGGGTCAATTTTCTCAATAGTACATACTAAAGGTGAATATTCATTTTTGATCCTACTAAGGATAGATATTAACGCTTTAACACCCATGAGAATTTGGCACCTTCTATTCGTGGATGTTAACAATTTTTTGTTGTACTTTAGAGGCACATTTTACCCCTAAGACGGTCGCCAAGCGAATTCCAATTTTTGGGTCGTACTAAAGATGGATATTAACGCTTTAGCGCCCATGAGAATTTGACACCTTCTTTTCGTGGGTATTTAACAAATTATTTTTGTACTTTAGAGGCGGATTTCACCCTCTCGGATGGTCGCCAAATGAATGCCAATTTTTTTGATAGTTCTGTAGCGAACATTCCAAAATTTCGATACACATCGAGGCACCATGAAAGATTAGTCATCGGTGATAACGAACGAAGGCGAAAGTGATGTAATCTTACCGAGAAATATGAAGTGTTTGTTACGAGAACGTTGTAGAATAGTCGGATGACTTCGGAAGCGTTCTTTGGAATACGCTACAGCACTTGAAACGACAATTACCGATTCATGGTGTTACAAAGCTTGCAATTCCGAAGATCGGATGTGGTCTCGGTTGGACTGGCGCATCGTGCGCAATATCCTGGAGTCTATTGGTCACAAAAATAAATAATCTTTACAGTTGACAAATATTAAATAAACAGACGTACAACCACACGAGAAAAATAAAAATGCAAAGGTGGCAACTATTTTGCAACAGGCGCCTCTATATCCTTTTTTAAACCCACAATTTAGATAAATTATGCTCTGGTGGGCAGAATTATAACAATTCAGAATCCAAAACCAGAATTATAACAAAAATTAAAGAATGATATATCGCAGACATGACGTCTGATTAATTCGTGGATTTTCAAAATAATTGTCTTAACGATGACGATTTAATAAAAATAAACAATTCCCCGATTTTGCTGGGTTATCGGTCTGTGACGTGATTCAATCTTATCGATAAACCAATATTAGCTATGATTCTGTGTACCTTCAGATTTTCCGAAATTGCAGTAGTCATACAATACTATATAAACGTACACAACTACAGCTGATACTGATACTCTTTGTCTGTACTTCAAATAAACCTTGCAATCAAGCTGTAAAGGTTATCTTAGTGATAGCTTCTCAAATATTGTTTCTTCATACTGCAGTAGTTGTTAGCCGAGACTAATTTCCAGTTGTTTTTTGAACGGTGAGTTAAAATTGGATAAATTGCTTGTTAAAATAGCAATCCTGGTTTATTTCAGAAAGGAAAATGCGTAAGCTCGTGTTGGTACTGTGGATAATAAACGGCATATGGGCACAATGCGTTGTTAACGAAGACAACGAGATGGAATGTTCAAAGGCAATCGACACCATACAAGTTCCCTCTGGAGACTTAAGGGCAGTGACTGTGGTAACCATCACAAATAGTAAGTTTAAATCTTTAAACAAAGAAGTTCTCAAACCGTTAACGTCGATGGAATACGTTTACTTTATCGGAAACAACATAGGAGATATAGAGCCAGATACATTTTCGGAATTTACACAGATAAAGGAACTACTATTTACTCAAAACACGATTAGTCGAATAGATTTTGGTGGTGAATTAAAAACTGTAGATCTGTTCATCTTTGAAGACAACATTATTACCAACAAGGCAACTCTGGTTGGCAAGAAACTACGAAATGTAAAGCGGTTACATTTGGGCAACAACGATATGAAAAAGTTAGATTGGATGCAAGGAGATTTCGCCAGGCTGATCGTTTTGAACGTCCCTAATAATCGTTTACGAACCTTGCCCTCCGATTTCAGTTCCCGCGTAAAACTACTGCAGTATTTGGATTTGCAAGACAATCTCTTCACATCAATAGACAATACCATGTTTAAAGGACTTTATAATTTGATTGATTTACGACTGGCCAATAACAATATATCTCACATCGCAGATTTCGCATTTGCCGATTTATCCAATTTAATTTCTTTAACTTTGCGCAATAACAGCATCACATCCATAACCAAAGACACCTTCAAAGGACTGCACAGTTTGGAGAGCCTAAGCCTAACTGAAAATAGACTCGACGATATCTCGAAAGATGCTTTCCAGAACGTGCCCGCCATTAAGGAGCTTCACCTCCACGAAAACACGATTACATCATTAGAGGTGGGAACATTTAGAAATCTTAACAAATTAGTCGGTCTTGATATTAGCAACAACTACAACACCGAATGGAAACCGGGCATGTTTAAAAATTTACAGAACATAATCCGGATCAAATTAAGAAGAAACGACGTAGAGGAAATAAAAACCGGAACCTTCGTCAATTTGCCAGCTTTAGAACTAATTGACATCGCCTACAATCAAATAAAAACAATACAAGACGACGCATTTGACACAATTACTTATTTAAAGGAGCTAAATTTAATGCATAATGAGATCAGCGTATGGAACCCGAAGGCATTTAAAAATGTAGAAAAGATCGGCAAAATCAATTTAGAAGGAAATCAGGTAAAAATACTACAATCACAAGCATTTCATAATCTAAATATAAAATCTATCGATTTCAAAGATAATTTAATCACGAGAATTGAGGTTGATGGTTTTGAAGGATTAGACTCCTTGGAATATTTGGGATTATCGGGAAACAATATAGAAGAACTTTCACAGGATACATTTCGCCATTTAATACATTTAAAGTGTATTGACTTTATAAACAATAAAGTGCAAAGAACCGACCTGTTAGAACAACTACCGAAAGTGCAATTTGTTTTCACTGAAAGTAATGAAAAAACGTGTCTCAGCGAAGCCAGTCCATAAAACAAGTAACTAAGTCAATTGACCCGCCTATCAGTACAAAACTTGTAATGTAAAAATAAAATTGACGATGTGGATTCTGACTTTGTACTTACCCTTCTTTTGCCTTCCAAATATAACATTCTCTTTTAGAAATCGCCTATGACATGGACCACAGAGCTACATAAACATGACCACATTGTGTAGATACAAAACACAAAAGTGAAAAATAAGTCTTTCACAAAGAAAATTTGAAACAGAATTCTCGAGAAGTTAAATGGTAGATGTCCACAATGTGTATGTATAGACGAAAACCCCGTCTGTTATAAAGTAAATCATTGCCGATATGGGTAGTGACAAATGAAATTACTTATTTACTTCATGTAAATGTCGGAGAACAATTTTAGACAGAAAGTAATTACTTAGGGTCCCGAACCGTACGTTTTAACCTACTTTAGTGCATTGTGTTTAAGCGTAACAGTACACTAACCTACAATCTCGTCAAAATCAAATAAATGCGATGCTTTAAAAACGTGTAAAGGGGGTATGTAACCTTATAAACCAAAAATAAACATTCTTGTGTGATAAAAAAAGTAATCCTCAGAAATTCAAAGATACGATACAAAATTAACTTGAGACGGATTCATGAGGCTTTAGAAACGCTCTGTATCAGAACAAAACCTTTACAATTACTCCTGTATCTACTCCCTCGAGGAACGTTTACATAAAACGTATATAAATTGGATGCTGTAAAACCTACTTAATGACTTTATAAAATGTTTATGAGCCCATAGACACTCTTGTTTATAACGATACCTTAGTTGATAGATATGAAGTCCCTTTACTTAAAATTTAACCGATTAGAGTATATAATTAGTTGATAATGATACAGTAAAATTTTATAATGCTCTTAAAAGATACCACACACTGTGATTGTTGTTTTATATATAAATTTTCTAGAATGAGGGGTTGTTAGCAGTGTATAAAAATGTACTTAATTTAATTATTTAATTTGTAACCCGCGCATTATAATATATTTTAGTGGAGTTTAATAACCAACATTGCCTGCACCATCGACATTTTTGGTGTTCTCTACCAAATTTAATGGGATGATTTTTTAATCTGAGCCAATCGAATTTCTGAATTTTGGTCGAGATCGATCAATGTGGCTGCAGCCCAGAGATCCATGACCATAACCATCTCCCTCTTTTATCTCTCGGCACCCTTATATCTCGGTATTTTTTAAGGCATGACACAGTTCCAATCGAGATTTTCGTTTCCTCAGTCTCATTCCTAATAATTTTAACGTCCTCCTGGATAGTTCACCTCCAACACTCCAGTATTTCTTCAAATTTCTCCCGACTTTCCTTCCGACGCCTGTCTAGGCCTACGAAGATGATGGAAAGCTCCTTTCCTTTCCCTTTCTGTCACGCTTCTCCAACATTCAAAGGCGTCTGAGACCTACCGTTAGATATTGATGACTCAACCCTTATTCTGATAATGTTGATAGTATCATTTCTACTGGCCAAGTCCCCCGGTGACAAAATCCCGCCGCCCTTGCATTATCTGCAATTCTCTTGGATCCTAAAGGCATTTATAAAATTGAGTTTGCTGTTATTAAAAAATCAAGTTTCCGACACCCATTGCGCCGGATTATCTAAGGCGCGATCTTAAGGTTATTCGATGGTGGAATGTAATTGTTATTTTCATTAACTACATTGACGCAGTCACGTTCTGCTAAAAACCCGCGTAAAGATTATGCACCTTGAACAATGTCGTTAAGTTCCCAATCTATAAATATAAAGACATGTTTGCAAAACAAACGTTTTACTTTAAGATTATGACCATTTTTGTACATAGTAAGCTGCCATCAAAGGAACATTTTAATTACTGCAAATATTATGCATAACTTAAGCGTAATTACATAAATTTAATTGAAGTTTAAATTAAAACCGGCATTATGTAATCAAGTGGTTACACTATTGGTATGCCCGTGTTGAATGTAATTACTTTAGTATTATAATAATTTAAGAATTTATTAGTCCCACAAGGTTGTTTAAGTACTTGGAAGTATAGGCCAATTTGGAAACCATATCTAATTATAACAGTAAAACTTTACACGAGTTTTGAACTCGCATATGTACTATGTAATAATGTGTAGTTGCGATTCCCATTCACAAAAACGTTTGTTTTATTAACAGTATGCTTATTACCGATTTGGAACTAATATCGTTTTTATTCTTCTTGCGCGAGTAACTTTTGAAATACCATGCGAAGCGTAATCTTTAAATGCCGGTTTCCTAAACGCGTTTCGCTATGAGTAATTACTTGTGTCATCGGTTCATAATAAAAAATTTAAAAAAATTATGGTTGATACCACCAATTTTTTCCCTTCTTCGCAGCCTAAATCTTCACAACACAGTGAGGTGTACGTTTGAGGTCTCCGCGATCAAATCTATGAAATCGAGTTGATAAACCTGGAAGTTTTTTTTAATTTGTCCAAACATGTAATAGTGACTACTTTTACTTTCTCAAAAAACTTGTTGTTTGCCAAAAATTTGATCGCCCGAAGCACCCACCCCACGATCAAATCCAAAAAATTATTGGAATCACCCTTGTTCGTGGTTAATATCAACTCGTTCAAAGTCACAGGGCAACCCTTATTTTTACAAATGATAGGAGAACTTCGCCCCAATTACAAAGCTCACACAGACTTGGGAGGAAAGTTGTTAGTTGAAATAAGTGATAAAATCGATCACGAACTGACTGACTGAAGACTTAGTATTGTCGGGGGTCCAAAAATGACCCCATAATAGCCGCCAATATTCACACTTTCTGCTACTGATTGTGGATCAGAGAAAAAAACTGCAGAATATTGCACACAGTTAGCCATAGAATTGATCGAAAGGTGTCGGAAGTCTTCGTTGTCACAGATAATGAAAAAGATACTAACACATGTTGTGAAGGCGCAGACCTACTTCAAGAACCACCATCAGCCCCATACATGATTACGTTAAAAAATCCCTTCCGGCTTGGCCGATCAGGTGTAGGTAGATTTCTTTGGCCGAGTCTGACCGAGATATTTATGAGTTACACCAACCCTTAAAGTTTGGCCGAAATCGGTTCATAATTACGAAAGTGAGTGTGAAAGAGTGTCTCTTACCCCTGTGGTGGGTGGAAGTGCCGCAAAATAAGGCTTCGGGTTTGTCGAGGTTTTTATAAAGGCTTGGTATATACCAGGTTCAAGTTTGCTCCTTCCTACAAAAAAAAGTTGCTCTCCTGCATCAGCTACCATGTCCTATGTTGCTGTGGGACCACAGAACGCTTTATAGATGTATGTGAATTGTAAATAGCGGAGGTGGTGTTAACACGTAAACGAATGTGACAACAGAATGGTCTTCGCAAATGGAAACGTTTAGAGATTGATCTCAACATTTCCAAAATTTGGTAATTAAAAGGCCATATTTTAACGAAAATTCTCCAAAAATCGAAATATTAGGTGAAAATGTGTATTAGATCCTGTGCTATGTTTGAGGGAATTCAGACGACGTTTAAATGCTCAAAAACATTTTGAACTGTATTTAGGATATTCATTTAGACGATTAAATTGACAATAATACTTTCTTTATTCATCATCCTCACCTGTCCCATTCATGCACTTCGCTTTACATTTGCATTTACTTTGTGCAAGCGACCCAGGGCTCTTTCTTGCACCCAAACTGTTTAGTGTTGCAGAATCCTTTGCACCCACAAACAGTAAACTTTCTTGGGAGCGACCCTTGTAACGGAAGCTTGTTCTAGAATAGTGAATTGTTCGGAAAGTATTAATCAGTGAGTAACTGCAGTTTAGTTTAACGTGCGATTGAAAGACTTCCGTTCAGAAATTATATAAAGTACGAAAAGCGCGCTAAGAAATTGTTGTTCAATATATTACATTTTTCGTTGGACAGGTTAGTTTTTTAGGGTATTTGTCATAAACATATTCATAGGTTACTAATCATCCCAATTCACGAAAATATACCCCCTTTATTTTAAAATGTTCGAAAACGTATAAAAACAAATTTAGGCAAAAAAAAATGTTCTTTTCTGTGGATTTTTGTTAATGCTAATGTAATGTCAGTAAATGTTTAATCAGCTTCAATATGTCTGAATGCTAGAGGAGAGAGGAGCTAGCGGGCGACAGGGCGCTTGAAAACTCCCAGAACACCCAAAAAACCAGGACATGTGACGGTTGGCCACTGACACTATTTGAGGTTAACCTGGTGATCAAATATCAATGTAAAAATCAGTTTAAATAAATTTAAACGTGAGCACGTCTGACCCTTCCAAATTGTAAATTTGAAATGATTTTTTCGCTATTCACAAAATATAAAATTTTCAGGATCTAGGATCTATTCGCTAGTTGTAAAGCATTATTGTTACTTTGGGTGTCCCTACTTAAATCACGGTAATTTTAATTGCTTCCAGGAGGTGCAACGGCAAACTGAATCGATTACTACCTGCAAAATTTTCAGTTAACATATTTTCAATTTTAGACGACCTTCGCTTTCATCGGATGTATTTTAAATGGTTATACTCGAACTTCATTTTATAAATTTACGCGAAGTGTGGACTACATTTGATACATTTTTTGGAAATGATAGCTACTCCTTCAGTAAATAAATTGCCTTTTATAAAGCAAACATAAAACAGATCCATTATTTTCTGGATTTGCTTAAATAAGGAATCGGCCTTACTTAATAATATGTAATAACAGTTCAAAAAGTTTATGCAGAGTGTTCAGGTGTTCATGGCAAATTTAGCAGAGTCGAAATTGCGAATTTTGGTGCATTTTCCAGCCCATGTTGGATGGCGTTACTATGGCCATTTTATCCGTCCGTCCGTCCGAGGCCTGATCTACTCCTTCAGTTTTGAAGATATTTAGTTCGTTCTTTTTGCATTCGAATGCATGGAATATGCGCTAAAGTTACTCACCTTAGAGCGAAAACCTTTTTTATTTTTAATGAAACCCCCTCTCCCCCCAGCCACGGATTGTATGATCTGTATAATTCTATTACATCAATTCCATGACAATAGGATAGTATTTGTTTCTTGACGG